CCTTTGGTATTAAGAAATACCACTTTTGTCTTCTTAGGTTCAAGTCTCAAGAGTTTTCGTTCAAAATTGGGTTTTTATTATAAGGTGTGGTTTATAATAGTTCAATAGAACAAAGTATATCTTTCTGGGAACTTGGTCTCTTAAATGCAAAGTTCTTTGATCACAGTTTCTTTTATTAACACAAAACACGACTTTAATTGACTTTTATGACTCCCGTGAGTTTTTATTATGTCACTATGCTCCAAAACCAAGGGTACGAGTACGCTGTCTCGTCTAAAATGATACTGTGTCCTTAAAACCTCTTATTCAAAAGTCTCCAAGCAAGTTGACTCCCAAGCACGCTGGCTTCGTTCACACTGTACTTTTCTTGACCACGAAGAAATCTCCTTTAATTGATTACAACTGTCCACCTCCTAAGTCTCTACTTGGAGTGCAACTAGCTGGTCAACGGGGGACGATTGCTTCCTTTTTGACCTGCCAGCGCGCTCCTTATATACTCCAGGAACCCCTATCTACGTTTTACATGTGTTTTAAAGCGGGATACTTCGGTCCGAATTACAAATATGAAATTTAATGAACGAGTGGTATATTTTGTAGTCTATCTCTGTGAACACTACAGATTTTGTAGTGTCGCGTCTTTCATTTTCAAATGCATCAGTGTTTGATGCGTACACGGAGTTAGCCGACATAGCTATTCTTAGCTTGGCATGATCTCGCGTGTTTCTTTCTATGGCCCGGTTTACCGGTTTGACAGATGACATCACAAAATGATTAACGTTTCCTGATGCGTTGATGCGCATGCATACGCGTTTACCAATAGTCTTCGGCCTTCCGTCGCTTCCGAGTTTTTAATTAAAATGCCTTGTCTTGGCTCGTCTTTTCATTACGGAGGTCGGGAGACACTCCGAAGGTGTTTTCAAATGTCTTTCTTAATTGTCAGGGGGTTCTTATTATATTTCATATAATAGAATGTGTCTTTTTCTCATGTTTGTACTTGTGACATTCAGACGCATCAGTCTTTGATGCGTACGCGGGAACTGCCGTACATGACTTTCTGAATGGCCGTGAGCCACGCTAAGTCTTCATACGTCTACTACCTAGGTGTAGTTTAGTCTTTCCATGTTTCAGACATGCCATTTAGGCGTCTATGTCGTCTTTTCTGTATTTCTTGTATAAGCACGAGTTTTCACAATAAATCCATTATGTGTTTCTAAACCCTTGAGTAGTAATGCAATTCTTCTCCCTGCGTTGGGTGTTTACTCTAGAACCTCTCCGTGCTCTATTTCATGGTAGGTGAATCTTAGATGGGATCCAAGTATAATGTCACGACGCGTACTGCTGCCAGTTCCAAAGCCTTTGTCCTATTTTCAGATTCCACGCATTTGCATTTTTAGTCAACTGTGCCGGGTATGCGCATCGACTCTTTGTATCATTGCAATTGTATGTAGTGTATTTATTAGAGACGACCTTTATCGGTAAAATCGTTGAAATCGAATTTTATACGGGTGAAATGGTTTCATCCGTATCATCGGAGCAGAGCCAGGCAACAGAGAGGAAGTAGAGTCAGGCAATGAAACTAAGCCAGAGCACGAAGCTGAGGCAGGTCAAGAAGCAGAACACTGCCAGGAGGCAGAGTCAACCCGACACAGAGGCCAGCCTGCCCACATCATCCATGCCAAACAATGCCCTCAGGTGCAGTGCATACTGGACGACAAACCTGATGTGGAGGGCAACTTGCAGCCGGAGGATAGAGGTCACGGTTATATGGAGTCTTCATTGACACCAAGTGACTACAGCCAGTCCAGGAAGGCTGAAAAGCTTCAGCTTGACCATGCTCGAAAGAATCAGGGACTTGGCCATGACGTAATGGATACTGAGGAGGAGGAGGCCGACAACGAGATGATAATGCAGGAAGTAAATGAGCATGATCAGCGTCGTCGAAGCAAGGGGAAAAACCCATTGAAGAACCTTTCACCAGAGACAAACAGTCACGTTCGGCATCGTTTGGTGAAGGGCAAACGACCTGCACCAAGACCTTCAGGAGAAAATAACGAGACATGCAACAAAGGAGAGGAGTTCACGCAGACTTTACATAGTCTGGTGAAGAGTAAGCCACCTCCACAGATGCCTTCAGAAGACAATGAGGGATCAGGTGTGGAGGGTGCAAGCCAAAGTCCTCATGCATGCCCTGTTACTAGTGCAAAGGCACTGGGAAAGAAATGTTCAAATCCTGTGCCAAAGGCTAAGCATGGCCCTTTCTCAGTTCGTGAAATGGATCAAGTCAAGGAGCTTGCAGACACCATCATGGAATACTGCAAGAACATGGGCCGTACACCCGAGTCTGTCCTATGCAAAGGGGGCTTCAATATCTCCCTTTCTCGTGAGCCGTCCTGGTGGGACATATGGCAAATGTACTTGTGTCACCAGAGTTACAATCCCAAACAAAGTACGTCTTTTTTCTTTTGTCCCAGTTATCAGGCTTCATTGATTACTTAGTCTCAGCTGCCAGTCACTCATGGCCTACCCAGGTCTTGGAGATGTACAAGATTCTTATGGAGAACCTTTCAGAGGGCAAGCTGGAGGACTATTGGCAGAATATGCTTGTAGAGTTGGCAGGGTCCAAATCAGAGGTTGAGCAGCAGGAGTTCAAGATGGCGAAGTCGGCTCTGAAGCAAGTTCAAGACTTGGTGAGTTTGGACAGTTTATCTGCAGCGACTTTGTCTGATATTCTGATTTCATAGGCAATGGTGTTGGGAAGGGTGGACTTGGACATGATCGGGGTAATCATTCCTTGTGATCCTGTGGCCAACCAGGCTGCTACCGTCATCACAGGCAATCCTTTGCTGCAATGCATCATTGAGCACAGTCAAGCAGACATCAAGAAGTTACTTCATCATTTGACAACACTCCTTTGGTTAGTGATATAAGTATTATCAATTCAGAAGGTATATTAACCTTCAACTATGTAGGGGGATGGCCTCTAATTTTATTGTACCAGAAACCGTGGACATCTCACAATTGCTTGGTGTTGATGTGGTGAACTTGGATGCAAACATAGAAGGCTCAAGCACAGTGCTGCAGCTGCCCCCCATGGAACCCAGGGACCACACAAAGGTTTCAAAAAGTCTGGCCAAAAAATCCAAGTCTTCAAAAGGTGTGGCAAGCTCTTCCAACCCTGATTTAACTCAGCCAATGAGTGCTGTCCCTGCGTCTTCTTGGAATTGCCAAACCACAGAAGGGTCTCAACCCATGGAATCTTCTTGAGATCGTTCACAGAGATGTGTACCTTACCTAATGAAATTTCAGATTGGTATGTTTTATTTGTTTTGTTGGGGTGAGCTACCTGCTGATCGGTTTGCAGCAGATTGTGCAGGTCCTGCAATAGCTTCGGTGTCAGCTTTGTGGGCCAACTTCTTCACCCACTGCCATGACACTTGAATGATTCTCAAATGTTGGCCTTGCAATGAACCCATCCCCAGAGCAAAGGGATGGTCAATAACCAACATCAGTTCAAATGGGATTAATATGATATTCACATACATGATTAGCAAGGATGAGACGAAGGAGCTTGCTCCTCAGATTGTCTCCTGGTCTGATGATAAGTTTGACTGGTGAGGTTCACGATGCATGTTCTAATTGATTGGGCTTTAGATTACATGGACTTGGCAGAGGGGAGTGAGGATTGGCTGGACATACCCATCATTACTGGCAAATCCGAATCAGGGGTGCTTGTCGTCCTCGCCCATGTCAGAAACTGCTTGCTGGAGGTTGAGAATGCGGCTCAACAAAACGATGGAGGTGCTGACTGCCCTCCACTACTCTGTGCCAGAGCTCATAGCCAGATGATTGAGGTCAACACCTTGAAGGTAGTTAAAAAGAAGAAGATGGTGACAACCTCCACACAAGTTGGCAGGCAGAAGCGCAAGTTACGTGAGGACACCAAGCCTTCTGGAGCTGGTGTCCAGGTCGAAAAACCACCATCTTCTGATGACAGGCCAGCAACTCTCGCACTCCTGTTATCTCCCCCATTCACTCTCCTCCTGCCAAACATGTCTGTCACCAGGAGATGCCAGGCCAAGAGGCTGATTTGGGTTCATGGCCAGTGCACAATAACCGAGGTGGACCCAGAGATGGCGGTTGGGAGAGTCAAGAAGGGCGGCATCCCTGTAGCATGACCCAGGGCTCAGGAAATGAGTGCAGGTTGGACAAAGAACTCAATTCCCATGGGATGTCCCAGCAGCGGCATACTCATGATGATGCTGGGTCAAACCGTCTGAGTGGCTCTCATCCGAGAGGTGTCATTCCATGGAATGACGCCGACGTTCGCAATCACAATGACTACGACATGGATGTCAACATGTATGACAAAGATGGGCACAACACTTTCATGGATGAGTATCAGGCAACTAGGCAGTACTTTACAGTGCCCCACCTATTCCTGCAGGAATCCAGTCATTCCACAGGAATTCCAGTGGAATCCACAGGAATCTGCAGGAATTCCAGAGGAATCCAGTGGAATTACACTGGAATCCTCTGAACTCATGTAAATTTACCAGTACATGTCCTGATCAGCTAAAGTCATGTGACTTAATAACCAACTTAATACTCAGAATAAATTTGAAGTCAATAAACCAAATTATATTACAGTTGAGTGCAAAAAGAATGAAGGTTGGTTCATTTTTCTGGTTCTTTCTAAGAATCTATTGTACCTCAAATGTATTTGTGTATTCTTTTACATTATGTAGTTGTGTTACACTTCCCTTGGTATGGACTAATTTCAGTGAAAGCTGGAGCCTTGAGAAGGTTTTTATTCTGGAGACCATTTTGGCATCTGAAAAAAAAAAATATGCGCTAACTGGGGAGGTAGCCAGAACATACCTCTGGTCAACCTGAATGAGCCTATCAAAGAATCAGTCAAAAATACTGAGCAGATATGCTTGTAGAGCCTCCAGAAAATGGTCATTTTGTGCTATTTTGGTTATTTTTGGCCTGTTTTAGACAAAACAAGCCATTTTCCAAAGCCTCTACAGACCTAACCACTCAGTATTTTTAACTAATTCTTTAATAGGCTCATTCAGGTTGACCAGAGGTATGTTCTGGCTAG